TGGAAGAAGGCTGATTAAAGAATGTGTTTGAATTAAATTTCCGGCAAAACTAAAGACAAACAAGAACAAGGACAGTGACCAACGAAGGTCTTGAGCATCAAAATTAAAATTAACTCAGGCATACCGAGCATCAACAATGTCACTTGACGAGCCTGATTTTCTTCTTGCTCCGTGTTGCCGGTGCAGTTTTCCGCAATCAGCTTTTCATTCTCTTCTTTACTTTGTACACAACCCATCTTCTCATTCCGTTCGCAAAACTGTTACTGGGGAACTTTAATTACGACCCTTCAAGTCCACTTGTAATGCTGACTGAAAAGTACTTTTGAACCTCGTTTGGTAACTGTGGAGAGTTAAGACGATCAATGAAGAGAAAATTCATATGCCTAAAGATACTAGCATAATATAAGAGTACTCTGGTTCCGGTACCAGATAATTACCGGGCTCACACGCTATCATTGTTGTTTACATTTAATTGAGATTTCCATAGTTTTGCAGGAAGCATGATTGAGAACTATCAGTTCACAAAATAAAATAAACTTGTTTGTTAGCTAGGAAACGTGCTTTTATATTCTTTAGATTTTTATTTTGAATATTTGATTTCGGGCCCAAAATGTAACTGGGACTTTCGAGAAATGGGTTCAGTCTGGTGCGTACTCCAAGAGCACCGCATTTCGCTCCCCAGCTTTGTGAAAGAGTTTTCATTAAAGTCAATTTTAACAGGAGCAAGATTTCCTCAGCTTGACAAGTTTTTCCATGTCAAAGAACTCGTGTAACTGCGGCTTAAGACAAATGGAGAAATGTAAGCAGTAATGTCACGTTTTATTCATAAATCTGGATCGAACCGAGCTGAACCAAATTTCAGTAAGAAGCTTTATTCCTATATCGATATTTATATTATAAAATGAAGGCATCGCAAAGAAAGTTTCTTGAAAGGTTGAGGGAGGTGCAATTTATACGTAGAAAGCTCGTATATTTAAGCCACACAAAGTTAAAACAGCAGTTAAAGTAAAGATTAAACATTTTCAGAGCCCCTGGTTTAAAAATATTTCTTTGCGCTGGCTATTTGCTCTGCGTTTCAAGTTTTCAGAAAAAGAAAACGAAATTAGGGGAGCAAAAATATATCAAAACAATGTAAAACATTTTGCCTTTATATTTTGTCAAACAAAACTAGAGGAACTTGTATCATGGTGCAGGGTGTTGTTTCACGAGATTGTTTACTGTGTTTTTCTTAATAGAATTCTAACAAAAACAACATTTGCGGTAAAATTTGAGACCAAATAATAAAGTTAGTCATGGAACATACCTAAATTTCCGCCAACCCTTCTGCATAATATTTCTGTTTTCCTTTCGGTGAGTGAACTAAAATTTCAGGAAAACAACTCTTATAGCCAGAAATGACGAAAACAAGATAATTTGGTGTCAGTCAATTATCTTGCTTGTCCTCAACGCGACGAACGCGATAAACAAAATTGACAAAAATAAAACGATTGACCAATCAGAACCGCAGGAGCGTAACTTCGTGCAGAACGTGCGCGCATGTCCGCGTCGTAGGAGTTCAATTTGGGAGTTTCAGCTCCTTGTTTGTTCTTTTAGCCTCCAATCGATCAAAGAACGCATAGTATAGTTGAAAATCATTGGCCATTAGTTTGATTTGATATTCACCTGAGCGAGCTGTAGGCGTCTTTGGGTACGAAACAGCGTTAGTTTTAACACCCGAGTTAGTAATCCGAGTAACGCGACCGAGGATGCATTTAAAAGATTCACCATGACTGTGGAAGAAGAGAAAAAGGAAGGTATTAAAAGGCAGAGGTGTATCCAGGGATTCTGATAAAGAGAGTCCAAGCATCTTTACACTACTGCTGGAACCGTTTTAAAGTTACCGTATTTCCTCGAATAATAGACGTCCCTCGATTAATCGCCTTCCTCGAATAATCGCCCCCCTTTGACAAAAATATTTAAAATAATCGCCATCTTCCCGTCCTTTAATCCCCTCCCTGTCCAGTTCAAGTGTAATGTGATCCAGCAAAACTGATCAGTGACCATTCAAGCTATGAAAATTAATCAAGAAACTAAATTTGTAACACTTAAAAAGCCCATGTTCAGTGTATTTGATGTGATTATTTTTTCGGTTAAAGGGAAAATAAAACAAAATGTCTAGGGCACGACTTCCAGTGAACAATATTTGAAATAATCGCCTTCCTTTAATAATCGCTCTCCCTCGAATAATCGCCCCCTTTTTGTGCGAAAAAAAATAAAATAATCGCCCCCGGCTATTATTCGAGGAAATATACGGTAAGTACAGCCGATCCCTGTTTTGCGGACACCCACACAGTACAGACACCTCATTATTATCGACAGTTTTCTTTGTTTCTGGGGAAAGCCCTTTCATTTTCTCTATATTCAACCTGCTTAATACGGACACCCCGTCAGTGCGGACAATGGACAGTTGTTTTTGCCAAATACAGTCGACTCTCTCTTAGCAGACACCTCTATGAGACAGTCACCTCTGTAAAACGGACACCTAGAGTTGGTCCTTGCCTTTCTTTACTCCCTTTATTCGACTCTCTATAAGACGGACACCTCTCTAAGATGGACACTTAGTACAGGTCCCAAAGGTATCTGTCTCAGAAAGAGTTGACTCAGTGTAAACAGATTCTCATGGAAATTCAACCTTGTTAATGAAGACATTTTATTGTCAACTGCAGTGCGCTGTAATAAGGCTTTCCTTTTTTAAGCGGGTAAAAACCTTCAGATGACATCATGTCATGGCCACAGTACACTGGATAGGAAGAATTGTACACGTCAATTTCAGACTATTTTGACATCAAACGAGTTGAGAAAGAGAGAGGTTTTTGATCAAGTAATGTATAAATGAGCAACTTTTAAGTATTTCCATTGTCCGACATAGTCTGCGGAATATAATCGCGGCTCCGTGAAGGTTAGAGATGTTTAATTTGACGATGCTTAAGTCTGGACCCGGTTGTTCAAACGTCCGATAGTTGTGCAATCTACCGAACATATCACAATCCGACGGATAAGTAGTATTAGGTAAACCAATGGCGTTCTAATCTAGTGAATAGAGATCATTTAATCCAGTGGGTAGTGTTATCCACTTTTTGAACAACTGGGGCCTGCTTCATTTCTTGAATATTTTGTTCAAATAGAAGGAAAATAGAGCAAATGGAAAATGGAACCAAGTGAACTTCCTGGCTATGGTTTTGCGTTAAAATAAAATAAATAAATAAACATTCTTATTTTCTTGTTGATTTTAGGCTGAAAATTATATAATCGTGTATTATTTTTTAATCATATTTAAAAATGAAAGAATCTATGTTGATATCTACTCTTTCCGGTTTAGTTCATGTCTTTTGTGTTTTATACTCTACATATTTACTACATACATGTACCGTCCTTCGAACACAGTCCTTAGCATTAGCGATTGGCTATATATTTTATAGCTTGCGCTGGTTTTCCCGCTATGCTGGCTTGTTTTGTCAGTTTCGATCAAGGCTGAATAACTTCACACAGTTTAACCTGAGATCAGGCCCAGTTTTTCTGAGCTGTTACATATTAACGCCTAAGGTTCGTGTAATAAATTCCAATTTTTTGTTCTCTGCATACTCCTGCTTTCAAATGTTTGGCCGAGGTGCTCATTACGCCAGAAAAATTCGTTGCCGTGTATTCTTTTATCCTGTTAGTCCTTCCCTAAGCCCGTGTGAAAAAAGATGATGTTTCCAAATTATCCGCCTGAATTAAATGTGAAGTAACGTTTTCTGGGGAATTAGTCATGATTAGTCATGGCGGAGGTTTGTTTAGTTCCCGTATCTGCGTTTTCCCAGGCTTTACCCTATTCGCCAAGTGAAATTTTGAAGAAATGCGCGGTTTGAAGCTACACGAGAGCGGTTTCTGCAAACTATATCTGGCAAAGAAGAATCAAAGCTGCCCAAACTGAGTTGCTTATAAATCGAGCACTAAGGTATTGAAAAAAACTAAAATACTTTAAGAAAATCGTCCCTGATGTTGAATTACGTAGCTATAAAGTACAAGCACGTGCAGAAGACAAAATTGACATAGCCACCTCGTCTTTTACCTCCTCCTCCGTTTTGTTACTCGGCATTTAATTAATAGGGCTCCTTTTTGTTTTAATCTTCGGGATAAATTGTTATCGATGTAGTTTTAATCACTATCTTGGTTTGTCCGGTATATGCTTCTGAAATACTGTGAAGTTAACGGTCATGCAAAGAAAGCTTATCGTTGTTGTTGTGGGTTTGAAGAAATGGAACAGGACTTCCGGTTTGGAACCGATTCCCTCCGTGAAAACAGGACTACCCTTTAAGACGTTCCAATACTTCCGGAAATTTCTCACTGGAACGAGTGGGGCCAGGGGATCAGGCACGGTCGGCCAATCAACCTTAAAATCAACCAAATCGCTTTTCGAGTCAATCGTGTGCGACCTATCCGTTTTGAATCACTTGAGTCGGTCAAAGGGCAAGACACCGAAATAAGGATAGGAGCCATGATTGCACAGTACACTATGCACAGATCGTAGTCTTTCTGCCTAATATTTTTAAAGAGGGTTCGCGTTTTATAGCCCGCTTCTTAAAACCCTTAAGCAAATTTCAGACCCAAGAAGTAATTTCTCCTACCCTATCAGACCTAGACCAAAAACGTCCCAATCTCCTAAGACGAAATGAAACGTAAGAACTCATTTTCAGAAGGCAAACGATATTAAATTTTATACATATGTCCAAAACCCTGCAACATGCAACCTGTTTGGGTCGCACAATCCTAAATAGTTCAAATAAGCTCCCCGCAGACGGGCATAGGGGCTGGGAGCATTGTGTTTTTTAAAAAGCAAAGATTCATACGCATTAGCAGTTGAAGACCCCACCCTCTCCCCAGTCTCGCGCCACGAACGGGTCAACGAGCCAATATGGTGTGGAAACAGCACGCGTCGTTGATCAAGGCCTGTTGTTTGGATAAAAATTAAATTCATTTCTTGTTTATTTTACAATTTTCTTATGTGAGCAAGGTCAATCAGTTCTCTCTACTCAGTTTTTTAGCGACTGCCACGACAATTCAACTAGGTTAACAGAGACCACCTGACTGTACCAAATTTTAAAAACTTAAAAACAGTAAATTGATCCTTATTACAAGAGCCTGCTATATTTGTCAGGCTGATTTCATTTGTCATTCAGACAAATCTAGCTGTCAGATTGGGTCGAACCAAATACGCTGTATAAAAAAAATCCTTTCTCCAAAAGTCACTCTATTGTCGAACTTTAACAAATAATGTTACGTTATCATGTCACAACATTTGAACCGGCCTTGCGTTAAACAATTGTCACCGTGACATAGAAATGTACGCAATGTACCTTACTGTTTATAACAGCTCTCGCCTGTGGCGGCGGAGGTATCATTAGACGATGTCTGTCGGAACTCAAACCGCCACGTTCTTTGTCTTAATGTCCATGGCAATACTTATCACAATCATAATTCCGTCTAACTCCACTGTGGTAAATAGAGTACCAAGATAACTGTACGTCATGAAGACGATCGCGAAAGTCACAACTAGTTTTCATTTTCTTTATAAACGGACCTCTGGAGCCACAGTAGTCAGGGTAAAGCTGACGACGATTCAAATTGCCAGCGACAAAGCACCATGGTATTAAGTAGGGCCTGATCTGTCAGCCCAAACACGCCCTAAATGGCGCATAGAAGACCATACTGTTCTAGCTGTTCTAGGTACGCTTTAGGCTGTAGCCCTCGGTAGGCATGACAGCAAATTGTTTTCTGTATCATCAAGGGGTTTATGGTACTCTCTTGGCACAAATATTGTTCCTTTCTTTTCCACATTCCTTATTTCGTTCTCTGGCACACTAACACGTGGGACCATGGTCAGTCTACAATAAACGTGCCAACTTCTAAGCACCTACAGCCGCACCCAGAAGGGCACACGTCCATTGATTCGAACCATGCCTTCAAATGATACGTATGTCCTCCATGGCCGCATGCGACACAGAAGTTACTGGCTCCTGAAAAAGTTCAAACACATAATAAACAAAAAAATAACAATATTTTCTCTAAAAGCAAAGAAAATTTTCGCAGAGTTAGTTCAATTGGCTAGCGCGCTGCACCGGCGCAGGATCGCAGGGATCAGGGTTGGAATCTTGGCAAGCCTAAAAATTTTCACGCTTTCTTTTCGTAACTGCTTAAGTTAACTGCGACGATCTTATTTACATTTATTTCTTTATTCCGCGGTTCAAATATTTGTGAAATTCACATATTCATCATTTAATATTTTCCCTGAGCCTTCCGTAGGGAAACGTGGTCACTTTTTCGGATAAACCCAAGAAAGTGACTTCTTGGCACAAAATGCCATCAGAAGCCTTCCTAAAAGAGGCCTTAAATGGGCCAGTTTCGAATTACCAAACTTCACACTTGTCTCCAAGTCTCAGGGGAATAAAACAAAAGAAATTGCATTTAGATTCAGGAATGAATAAATCTTTTAATGGTTTCATTCCTCTCAGCCTCAGAGCTAAGTATGAATTTTGCTAATTCGAAACTCACCTAGAAAATTCTTAGCCTGCGAAAACATCCGTTTCTCCTCGCTCTTCGCCGCTGGGGACGTAACGTCCCCAGCGGCGAAGAGCGAGGAGAAACGGATGTTTTCGCAGGCTAGAAAATTCTGCACTCTGCAATTTAGCCTGCTGATTAGAAGGTAGGGTGGAGAGGCGGCGTTACGGGGGGAAGGTGAAGGGGGGGGCGGGGCGTTCGGTTGACCGGCCACTTTCAAGATGATTCTTACCTCTGACAGCAACGTGACATATAACGCACTGTAGTCCCATGGCTTTGCAAGACCAACACTGAGCTCCTCGCAGCTTCTGTGAGCAACTGTAACATCTGGTACTGAATTCTAAAACGAAACAACAAAACGTCTGACTCTAGAGATATCACTGATATCAGTGAGTGATAGAGAGCGTAGAAAACAGTTTTGTCGCAGTCGCTTTGGTTTGTGTGTTTGTTCCCAAGGGGCATCCATTGCCATTCTTTTACAAGGTCCACTTTCTTCATTATGTTGCCTATGTTTGTTGGGTTTAGTTATGCAACAAGTTAAGTATTTAAAGGAGCTGTGTCACGAAATTCAGCCAAATAAGGAAATTACAAAATGCCCGTTAAATTAAGAGAAACATAAAAATAACCTCTTAAAACTTTAACGGAAGGTTAAAATAACATACCAGAAACAACAGATGCCACGGATGGGCAAAACTGAAGAAGATAGAAACGGATTGAAATTAGGGTTTTTGAAAACTGTTCAGCCTAACAGTTTTTCAAAGTTGAGCCCTGCTGCTTGCAACTTCAGAAATAATGCTCAGGAGACATATTTGTTTGTCTTGGATCTCTGATTTTGTCATTTACCTGTGATTTCTTTGCTTACTTTAAGTTCCAGAGCGATTGAGGGCGGGTAAACAGCAAATTAAACAAAACGAACTGGACTGCCGTGGCACAGCTCGTTTAAGCCCGAAACTAGAAAACTCGAGCGACTTATGAAAGAATTTGAGGAAAACAAAGCTTGTATTCATGGTCAAATGAGACCTTTTATTATTTGCAATACCAAGGACTTGACTCACCAACACCGCTGTGTGGTTGTTGCGCCTCACTAAGGAACTTGATGACTTCAGCTCTTTTGCCCAGTAGATTCCAGCGGTACAACACATCAGCGTACTGCTTTATGTAATGATCATGCAATCGAAGCTTCGAAGCATCAACAAATCTGGAAAAGTACCGACGTAAAGACACAAATAAACGAAAAAATTGGTTTAATTGTCAACGGTATTAGAGACCTTTGGATTCGAGGACGAGATGTGGCTGAAAGTTTTTTTCGCGCGCGTATTCTGAAAAAACAAAGACCCCGAGCAGCTTCATTTTCAATTTTTCCCCAGAAAAGATAACACGGTTACTTTTATTGAAGGAGGTTAAGCCCCCTGACGATCGCAAAATGATAAAACTTCTGACATTTGATAACTCCTTTCCGCATAAAAACCTGTAGCGTAATGACGACGGCTATACCGTTTTCCCGCCAAAATGACGCTGGTTCACGAGTGCACACTACTTAGTATTGAAAAAATCTCTTTCTGGTAGTCTTTCTTGTCTTACTTACCGACAGTCCTTTTCGTATTGTTTTCGCTGTTCTTCCCGAGGATCCTTTGTGCGGATAAACACTGGTGGCGACCATCCACCACTCAGCGGAGGGAACGTAACTTCGCTCCACTCACTTGACGGGGATTCGTGTCCAGCATGGTCCGTGACGTTACTAAGTGACTTGGGGCGCTTGAAAGACTGCAAGTAACAATAAGAGAGCAAACAATCAGAGGACACATCAGGGTCGAATTAGGGACTTTATGATTCAACGATGCGACGGCAACGAGAACGTCTAAAAAAACAGTGGGTCGGTTATTTAAACGAAGTTTAACTTAGACCGCGGTTTAGGGAATCTTGGAACCTCCAGATTTCTTCCTTAGTGGGTTATTTTAAGAAGGCCAATGCTTTTCTAGTCCACTTTCTGTGCTTTAATGAAACTGTTCACGATAAGTGGTGTTTACATAAAAGCGTTCGCCAAACTGAAAATGGCTTAAAACGCGGTTTTGTTAAACACTGGCTAAACTCCTCCGCTTCAGGCAAGTTTCAGTCCACTCACCGAAATTGAAAACCGCTCTATGAATGAGAAACGGCTATAACATTGTTTACCTGTGATGGTGGGTCACTGTATGATGGTGAAGAACCAAACGTAAAGGACTTGCTCAAGGGAATAATATCCGGCTTGAAGATACTTTTCGGCGGCTTGAAGGAGTCTGGGAGTGAGTGATGAGCCAACACACATGACAGCATCCCTAGAGTCTGTATGTCCCGGATGCTTAGGTAATAATCCATGCTGGAGATAAATAAATAATTTTGTTAATACCAAATGCGCTCTCTCATTAGGTTCTTTGAGGTAAGAATCCGTCGCATGACATCTAACAACAAAACTGTTTCCCGCCAGAAGTCTGAGAAAGGGTAATACTACAAACTTTATGCCGTCAGAGGCTAAAAGTAACCTGTTAGCCCCGAATTTGGACCGCTCGCTAAGAGTTATTGTATTAAAATTGAACTGTACTGTAGACGTTTTCTTCGTGAGGACTAAAAAACATAGCCCTTAATGACTATCCCCTCGGAAAACAGTGAGAAAAACATTGAGAATCTCGGTATTAATGAATAGATAAAACTGTATGAACGAAAGAAAACTTAGTTCATCTTAAGGGGAATATAGTCAACGGAGACTAGGCGTAACAGCCGCTTAAAACACCTACAGATACATACACAGGACATAAAAGACCAAGAAAGGTTGAAAAGAACTCTTGATAAAAAGCGGTTTTTTACTGCCAGATTCAGAGAGCAGAGGAGACTAAAACAGGGTAATGGGTTTAAAGTTAAAGCTTTTAGTGTGCTAAACAAAGTCTAAACAACGTCGCAAATCTGGGTAAAAGATATGTTTAGACTCTTTTCTAATAATATGGAAGTCTCATCGTGACCATATCTTGTCTTTTGAGAGAGTAGACAAGTGATCTTCAGCGACTTCAGTGACCTGAATTCTCCATTATAACGCGATTCGATATGCCCTCGCTATTAAAAACATCTCTTCAAAAAATTGACATCATTTTCAATTTCCAAAGCTAGAGGATGTGAATTGACAACTTTCGCATCCCCTATAATACACTCTGTTTGTCCCCCCCCCGCCAACGCCCCACATCTGAATAACTTATTGTTTTCAAATACTTTTGGGAATATGCGGACCTCAAAGGAAGTTTTGAAAACAACAGTTTCGGGGGCAAACAGAGTGTCTTATAGGGGATTCGAAAATAGAGAATGGTTATGTTGGCACATCCAATTAGTTACTTATTTCGGCTATTTAGTTAGTTTCTGTTTTCTTTTTCATTACACCTATAGATTTCATTCCAAAAATAAATGTCCAAGGGGTTTATTTACAACTCCAGTTTTCAGACTTTGCATTATTTGGGATTAAAAAAAGAAAAACTCCGAAATCAGGGAACCAGAATTAGTTGAAATGTAGGCTTGATAAACAGAGCCCCTCTGTACGTCATGGTGCCAGCCTTGCTATAGAACAAGGGTTTTTTCCGATTTATTATACCTGTAATTAATGAACTGAGTGTGTAATTACCGTTGTATCTAAACTATGTGGAATAGAAATCGTTGTTGTTTCAACTTTCCACATGAACCAGATAGCGAAACTCCACGAACACCGCTGGAAAGTAACGCCTTACAAGGCAGTAACCTTGCCAAGTCTGAGAGAAATTGGTCGAAAAATAACGACGATGTTGCTCCGCAAGGTAAAGGGGCGGGGACAAGATCTCGCCCCCACCGCACCATCCAAACGTCTATATATTTGCGTGCTCCAGGAGTTATATCCGCCCACGTTTCAGACATATTATCAAACTCACGCAAGTTCACTGATTACAGAGCCAGTGCCGATGAATCTTTACCGTTCCGGTTGAAATCAAACAATACAAACAAAACACGGTGGAGGGGCTGACCAAAATTGTTCATTAGCCGAGATCCGGTGTTCAATCGAGGAAATGAGATAAACATGACCACATACTACAAGATCAAAAATATTGTTTCCGTGTTTGGCTTTGGGTTCCTGCCAAGAATTTGTTTGTCTCAGAATGGCATCGTTTTCAGAATGTAATACTGGCCGCAGGAATTTATCAAAGTACGTGTTTTGTTGAAAATAGGTCCAGTCAGGGCTATATTAGGATTTTAGCCCTTGCCAAAAATGTTGTTTGTTTGAAGAGAATGCTTAAAGGAGTCTGTCTCTGATAAGGCATCTTGTTATTGACTGAAACAAAAGTTGCCAAAAATTGATCAAGTACAGGTGCCTGCTGGGTTTTCCCAGACAATGATGTTCTATACTTCTTGCCAAGAAGAGTCTTGATACAAAAAAGAAGCGAGCCTCTTATAACTGGTACAAGCAGTAGTTGCTTTTATTATGGCCATCAAACTGTTTTCCCAGGTGACTGCTTCAGATATTTGGACTTGATTCGTGACCAATACACTAGCGTCGTCCCCCCCCCCCCCCCCCCACCGCCACGACTTCACAAACGTCGAAAAACATGTTATTAGATTAGGTTTAGATTGGACTCTTATCAATTCTTTTACTCAGGTGAGTCAGCACGCAATCTTCGAGCCGCGTGTAACAAGGAAACAAAGCGCCGAAACGTGTACTTCGGCTAGTCCCTCGTTCCTCGCGAGTGCTCATAGACCAGCGTGCAAAGAAAGTAGTGTCCAATAGCCCGGGGCTAGTGAATTCTGTTTTTAACTTGCCCGACGGGCAAGTGAAGTTCTTTGAGGAATTCGATTAACAGAAGAACTGTGAAATCAATTCTGCGAGTCAAAAAGTTTTTGGGGCTAGTTAAAATGACGTCGGGCTAGTAGATGCTAGCTTTAGCTTGCCCGAATGGCAAGCTGTAAAAATGATTTTCTTTGCACCCTGTAGACAATCTCCAAAAGTCTACAACTCAATATTATTAGAGTAATTCTTTAGTTGTTTCAGTTAACTGATGAAAGTCACATGAAAATCTCCTTAATTCAAGCAAAAACGTGGGTGCGTTTATACATATTTTCCACTGGTATTTTAGCCTCGAATTCTTTATTCCAGTTTACCACCTCAGTTTCTCGGTGCGCTTATAGTCGCTTCCGATTGGTTGGTTTTACCTATTAAACATGCTGTTGGAGTTTGTTCTCTTTCTCTCTCGCTCTCGCGTGCAACCCCGCCCTTTCGAGCTTCTAAATTATTACTTCAGTTTCGTATCGTGTACAGTCTCTTTGAAGATGCCTAATTTCGGAGACACGGCTCAAGAAAATACTAGCGGGGTTTCTGATGGCGATGAATGGCCAGTCGTGTTTTTGTTTGTTTGTTTGTTTTTTTTTTGTGGTTTTGAGTAGCCTGCGTAGCCAGCGGGATACCCTGGATACTAAAGGTTTTTTCTCTCGTGCATCGAACGCGTACAAACAATTCCACCAGCTTTGAGCGAAGCGAATTAGAAGGTACGAATGTGATCTACTTACAGTGAAGTAACCATCTTCTTTCCAAAGGGATGTAGTGCCCAGGGCGCCTCGTCCATTGAGTCATCAGAGGGCGCAAGTTTCTTGTCGAGAATGAGGCTCATCAGAGACCATGTTTGCACCAAATCTTTGCGTCCCGTTGTCATGGCAGCTGAGAGGTTCTTCTTGCAAATGTCACTTATGTCATTTCCCTCAAGCCTTGGGAAAAATTAGTTTATTATTAATGAAATTAAAAAAAACCCAGCTATTTGTGTGATACTTTCATCTAGTGGTTTAAGTAATAATCAGACTTTTTTACGGGGATGGGACATTAAGACATCGCCCAACCTAGCCCCCAACCTGGAGGCCCAGGAATTGCAATTCGTCTGGTCTTTCACCCACAACCTCCTCAGCACAGTTGAACTCACCAGGGACCAAAGTCCAAAGTGGTATAACTTCCAGGGTCTTCAAGGTACACAGCCCTCCTACCATGTTAAGGCTCAACACTTGGGTCGGAGGCCTTATGCGTAACGGAGCAGGAAGAGGCAAGGTGAGGTGAGGCGACTCTCGTCTAGTACTGGATCTAGCTTAGGTGTGAGCCTTCACAAAAATAAATATTTAGAAGTTGTTCGATTCCACTGTTTAAATACACGCAACGGCAAAGCCAGTGAACGCTGTTTAACCGCTTTATCTTGTCGTGTGGCTTGTTTCTTACTATAAAATTAAAACAAACAGACATCCTTGCTCACCCAAATCAACCCCAGCAATACCCGCACCGAAAACAAGTTCACGAGGCACATTTCATAGAATCCTCTGTTGAAATGTCTCATAGGCTATTTAAGGTCGTCGCATTTAAGACTGGGTGGATGTTATATCCAGTTGCACTATGGGACAGTTTTGGGGAACGGAATTTAATCCAGATTCCTGCGCAGCTTTGTAATAGCCAATGGAAGAAGCGATGGCCTCTCTAAAACATTCCCATAGTGCAATTCGACAAAACACCTACCCAGTCTTCAGCCCAAACTCAAAATGTCCACTAAGGCACCTTGCCACGCGGCCAATACTTTTCGGGTCACGTGGTCCAAGGGACGAAGTGTGGCCGTTTCCCGTCCGTTCGTCTCGGATACGTCACCAAAGTGAATTGACCGAGAAGGCCTAAGTAAAAGCCGCACAGAGACTAGGCAATAAAGCAACCTGTGATCAAGATTGTGGTATATAATACTCACGTGTAGGCCTGGCCCAGTGACTGATGTATGGGCATCATGGCGCTTACGTCACGAATCACAACAAGACCAACATCACTTTTTCGTGAGGGCACTCCACCGTACTTTTGCATCTCTTGTAAATCCTCTTGCTGAAAAAAAAACGTAGCAAAACTTACCATACACTTGCTTGGCGACGGGTTTTCCGAATGTTTTTAACTCGTTTATCTCTTGAATTTGAAACTCTGGAAAACTTCTCGCCATTTTTCCAGACGGAATGACTTTGCCTGGATTATGGCTAACTTGGAAACTACGTTTTCACATGTAGTTTTTTCAAACAAAGCTGAAGCTAGAGTCGGCGACAAAATTAGTTGAGACACTTTGCCCTAAAAGGCCTTTCTATTCTTTAGCCGATAGTACCTACTTCAAAAGGGAAATAGGAAGCTTTCCCTTCCCTACCCCCACTAAACAATGTTGTGCTGCTGTAAGCGCTACCTGTAGAAAGCAACAAACAGCCCAACTTTGTTCTCTCAGCAATTTTGTCGCCGATTGTAGTTTTACACTTGAGGACATTTCTCCGGGTCACGAATATTTTTATTGTATTTATTACACTTGGGTATTTGAATTCACAGGCGTTTAAACACATCCGTTAATCCAAGAACATTCATGCATTCGGATACAAAGTATTCATTTTTTTTCTTCAGGATTTAAAATCTCCGCACACGCGACCAAACAAGGGATATTGTACCAAAACGTTCCGTATTCGCCATGAATCCAGAATCTCCTCTATTATAAACCAAGCCTGAAAAACAACTGTCATCAGCCAATCAAATTAAAGAAATTTCCGAGAAAGTCGTGTATTATTCACAACTGTTTAAGGACGTATACATCAAAAGGAATTGTTCTATATACGGCTCACTCCATTAGGCCTCGTCTCCTTTTTGTTGTTACTGAGATCAGTTAGCATCACATAGATTTAACTCTACATTACATTCCTGAAAAAGTTCTTTCCTTTGTAGATAACAGAGACGAATCAAAACCATGCTTCACAAACAAACCTGACTAAGTGTCCTATAGAACATGGTCCTTACAGTCGACTGCTGACCAAATGAACTGAATGTATGTCGGTGATGAGATTTCTGAAGGGAGCTGTTGATGAGAGGGGGAAGGGCTGGTCCGCTACTGGGGCGAGAACTGTACGCCGAAAACGCCGATAGAGACCTGGTGACAACAGCAAACAAAAATAAGGGGTACTCCAAGAAACTAAATGGGCGATTTCCATTTAACCAAAACTTTCGAAAAATTGGTAACAGAGGCAAATGGTACAGAAATATCCCGGGATTTCACTGTTGAATTTCCGAAATGCAAAACATTCAACCGAAAATCCTAGAAATTCCAGGAGCAAAGTGGAATGGAAAGAAAACTTCCGGGAAAAAATTTTTCGAAAATTTGGGTGTACCTCGCGAGGTTGACCTCTTTAACGGAAATTTTGGAAAATGCTGTTCCATTCGCTACTGGAAGTTGTCGAAAATTCAAAGCCGACCTTTTGGTAGAATGGAAAGCGCCCAATGATGAAATAAACAGACCTTCTTCAAACAAATTCCAAAACACTATGACCATTTACCACTTTAGAAACGAGAAGGGAAATGGAGCCGAAATGCGTCCCGCAATTGTTTCTGGGATAGTTACTGGGGACGCGCCGGTCAGCTATTGGCCAATTTTTCTCCCTGTCCCTGGTAACTGTCCCAGAAGTCTTTGCGAAAGTGAACTCGACCCAGTTTCCTCTCGTTTCTAAACTGGCGAATAAACCGTAAAGTTCCAAAAGTAAAGACCCTCCGAAAGTAGCCATAAAATTTCACAGGTGTCAACAAATCCCAAAAAGTACCCATCCCTCCGAAAACAACGACCCTACGAAAGAAGCCACCTCAAAAGTACAAAGTGTAATTTCTTTTTTTGCAAGAAATGAGGGAAATGATAGACATAACAAGCGATACCAAACTGATCCGAGTACTCTGCGAGCAGAGGTTTCTCTCTAGCATGGCTTTTAGCGCTTACAAAGTCGTGCACGTGGCTTGTCTCGCAGGGTATTCCAAAAGTAACGACCCTCCGAAAGTTTTGACATGATGAAAGATGAAAGTGGTAAACCTTGGTCAGTGCTTGACCGTGGTCAGTGCGAAGCCTACCTTGGCGTTGGTTCTCCCCCAGTCCCTACTCGACCAGTGTATTTTCCAGGTAAATTGAAACAAACCAGTAATCCTAAGAAACGAGAAAACAAATGAATCAGTCTGGAGACTGTTTCAAAATTTTCTCTGAAATATTTCAGTAGTATTCAGAAAACTTGACTGGAAACTCGAAATGCTCGAAAAATCAAGCGTTCAGTGCTCATTGGCTGGTGTTTGCACTGTGATCTTATTCTTGTGAAAGGCTTTTCAAAACACACAGCCGGGAATTGCATTGCTAAATCACAGCAGTAATTCCGAAATAGGATTTCGCGATTGCTTGGGTTTGCTCTGTTGTGCTTTGCGATTGGCTAAAACTCTCAACCAATCATATGTAAACTATTGCTAGTAATAAGGCAAGCAATTTCCCGCGCTTTTCGCTAGCTGCATGTGTTTACTTCGATCTGATTAGTTTATTCCACTGTGTGGGTATGTTGTAATTGGCTGATTATTTGATCTCAGCATGTCCTTTTCATTGATTGCCATTCCGCTCTACTTCGTAGTCCTTAGGAAAGTGGCCCGTGACTTGACGACAATCACACCGCATGCCAATGACAAACTCAAAAGCTAAATTACTTAATTCGAGTGCATTTTAATTGCAACACTAATTCACAAACATGACGGACTTCTAAGATTTTCAGAATGAATTGCTTTATGGTTATTAGTAACATAGTTCAGTCCCTCTTTTTTATACCATGCACCAACAAAGACGTAGACAGCAAGAAAGCAGTCCCTTTTCAGTGCATCAAGTCGAAGCTTGGCAGACCTCGTTCGCAAGCACTTAACATGCTCACCCGCATGACAATCAGGGTTCGTACAGATTTTTGGATCCAAAATTGAAGACTTTTTCCAGACTTTTTTCGAAAACAAGAGATTGAATAAGATTTGACCAAAACGAAAAAAAATTCACTTATAAAGCATCATTTTCCACACTTTCTCCAGGTCTAGAAAACTGCTGGGCAAATTTCAAGACTTTTTGAAGAATTCAAGACTCTGTACGAACCCTGGACAATCCAAAGGGACTGCTTGCAGTCTAACGGCTTTCGATACAAGTTTTTTCGTTGTAAATAGTTTCACGAACTTGGATTATAGGGCGAAGAATATCCACCCCAAATTTTTTTCTTGTTCACGTGCAAACTGTACTTGAAATGATCGAAATTTTTGTGAAATTTAAGTGCCTGAGGTCGTACCAAAACGACTTGTAGGACTTTGTATCGAAACGAGCGGTTAACAGTTTAACATATCAATGGTGACAGAGAAAGAGTTATAATGCTGTGTCAGAGCGATTTTCATATGACCTTGAAATGAAAACGCGCGAACAAAGCAGAAACAACAAACGAACGGAAATAGAGCGATTTGATTGGTTTAGCCAACGGACACAAACGCGCGTGGCTTTTCGCTTTGACGTCAAACTGCAACAACGATTGGCCAATCGAACAATGCCTTCTCCATATTAGGGTTTTCTTTGGCGGGAAAACGAAGAGGCCATGTTTTGATCTTTTCATCCATCGGCTGATAAAACAAATAACACTTACCGGAAGCATTTTTCAAGGTCATACGAAAATTGCTCTCTCACCACTCACCACAAGCACAGAATTTCGCGCCAGAAGTGCGGGGGAATGGAATAGCTGCATCAAGGTAACTACCGTAGGACACTGGATCGAGTCTGCCGTGAAGCTGAGGCACAGTTGAGGTGTATTGTTCCATTGGTAAATCATCTTGTTGCTGAGTGAATGAGAGAGCACAGTTAAACCTCTAGTGAGCGATCTGTTATTGGCTACCGTAAACTTCCCCTTACAAGCCCTTAGCTTAACCCTTTAAGTCCCGATAGTGACCAACATCAATTTTCTCCTAAAAATATCCATATGTTGCCAAGAGAAATGATTATGAGAGTTATAAAAATGATCACCAAAGAAAAAATGCTTTGATCTGTTATCAAACTCTCTCAACTATTTTTTTAAGGAAATGTATGAAGGTCAGTATGGAGAATTTATATGTGGATATCGGAGCTTAAAGGGTTAAACAACTTGGTAAAGAGCCAGTTAGGAAGGCTTATAACCAGACTGAAAAAGCATTTCAAAACAAGCAACATAGCAATGCTGATAAAAATACGTTTTGAATTCATTCGCTTTTTTTAAGCTCAAGTTTACAGTATTTGAAGTTGGGCGCCAGGACTGGGTTAATGTTGAGTCGCAACGCACTATGGGACTGATTTGAGGACGCTTTAACTTTTTTCACTGGCTATTACAAAGTTGCACAAGGGACTGGGGTCAAAATAAGTGCCCCAAAACAGCCCCATCCCCCATAGGGCAATTCAACAAAACATCGAGCTATTAAGCGGCCACCCTCCGGCTACATAGCGGCTAGTTGCCAGCGTTCCGAGGCACAAAATTGTCAATAAATCCCTTAAAACAGATCGACTTCTAAGCGATATCACCTCTATTAATCGTTCACTCTTGTAGAAGGGACAATTGGCTGTTAAAAACATCAGCCATCAAAAATTGAGAACAAGTTCTTACTCACCGTCAGTTCTTCAAGATGGCTGACTAACTGCCTAAGGCAGGGCTCAAGACACGTCTGGTTCAACTTCACATGTGTTTGAGCTGTTTCACGTAAAGTCTGACACAAAGAAAGGAAAACGAGTGAGACAAATTTCCCCTCGATGCAATTTAGAAATAAATTCAACGCTAGGTTTTCACCCCAACTCACCTTCATGAGTTTGATCTTGGTATTTTTGTCAATGGAGGTGTCTGATGTGAACTCAAACGAGGGGATGGCCTGGTTGGGATACTGAGGAGGGAACGTAATAACCAGGGACACAACATTGGGCCCATTAGTAGCACACACGGTACAGCTCCTGTGGCCCGCATCCATCTGGAAACAAAGTACTATTCTCACTGGGGAAAACACGCACAAGAGCTTAAATTTGCTTCGATGCAAACATTTTCAGCGTGGCACGGGAGAATACACGGCATACCCACAGACCTTGTTCCTCAGTTTAAAGAACAGCCTGCTTGATTATTCAGCCAGTTCTAGTAAAGTTTATGTCCCGCCACCCTCTATAGCAGTTCTCACCCCACCCTTCTCCCCGCAGCGATGGGCATACCTCGCATTCTCTCCTGGTTCACCGGCTCGCAAAGCCTCGGGCCGATTCTCCCATATCTAATGCATTTAGGTTCATTTGGTTTTGTGTCCGGGTGTTCCCGGGTGAGAATATATTACAATTGTAAAAACGTTACAGTCAACGTTCAATTGTTACATCAATCCTCGGTTCCTTTCTCCTTGAACTTACAAAACAAACTAGCTCTAGTTTTGATTTTCTCTGACGAAGGGCTAGTACTCAAAACTCGTGAATCTTTTGACTACCGTAAATACGACTTATTAACTTAATGCAGTTGATAACAATAAAACGCGGCACGATTATATCAGTCAGTAGGGTGCTTGACTGCAGAGCCTGATGTCGTGGGTTCGATTCCCAGGGCCGGACCAATACTCTGGGTCTTAAAATAACTCAGAAATGAAGGTACTTTCTTCGCCTTGCAAACGAATAGACCTTTGCGTGGTTCTTAAAGTGGCGGCCCCGCGTAAAAATAATGTCCTTGCTTGGCACTTTCTTTCTAAGTACATTGACATTCAAATAAAGTGCTCTGTTTTTCATTAACCAAACCTGAACGAGAAGACGCCATTTTTCTCCCATCATAAAAGAGTCCTTTCTTCGCAGAAAAAACTAAGGCGGGAAAGACGTCTACCCGCGCGAGCCACAGACTTTCAGGATATTGTATTTTGCAAAAGCTCTTTCTAGGACATACATAGGTTGATAGCCTGAGAAAACAACGGACATTCAAACGCGACGCCAAAACTGGATTCCCCGCGAAATAACTTCGGAGGAACGAGCGCAGAAATTCCATACTGATGACGCGTCACTACCCAGATCAGGGTAGTGCTTCTGATTGGTTGAATCAAATTTCCCACGCGGCACGACCAATCAGAAGCACTACTCAAGTCTGGGTAGTGACGCGTCATCAGTATGGAATTTCTACGCTCATTCCTCAGACGTCATTTCGCGGGGAAACCAGTGGCGGCCTCCCGAAATATCAGCTGTTTTCTCAGGCGCTGATAGGTTTGGCAATGACTTAAATAAACAGTGAGAGAGAAGAAGAAAGCATTTACCTGCTCAACAATGACATTAGGAATGTTGACATTTATAAGCGCAAATTCCTGTTGTAGAGTGTGCGGCTGGACAGCGATATTAGGAAGAACATCGGCTGAATCAATAATCACGGACTCTGAAAGAACAGATTCCATCAAGTCATCAGATATGGCCAGAGTTGTTTCGCTTGTGTTGCGGGATGGAAAATTATCTGTGGCATCTCCACTACATGCCTGTAGGTAAACGAAAAGTATTAGTTATTGCTTTATCTAAATTAGAAAATATTTAACTTGTTATGGATACCCTGGGTGCCACAGACTCTCCATGCGCGGATTCCGGTTTCGGTAAAGCGTTTTTTCCAGCAGCTTCGGCCTCTAAAGGTCGGAACACACAAGGCGACATGTTGCAGCAACACGTCGCAGCAACAAATCGCCTCGTGCATACTGGAGAATTTTTGTAAAAATCTTGGTCTCCGCAATAGAATTTTGTCGCCGCAAAAAGTTGCACACTAAGGAAATCTGATTGAATTCCTGCAACTTGTTGCAAAAAACCCTGCTACCCTGCAGAATACAAGCCCAAACAAAAGAAGAAGAGATTTTCAATAGCCCTAAGGAAGAAACTGGGCATTTAATAGCCATTCTGAAAATGAGTGAACTATCCCGTGAAACTGTTTTTAATACTAACCATGATCATTCTTGGTTCAATTGCCCACAGTCTAAGAAAATGATCCTTGGCCCAGGTAATGAGTTGAAACTGTTCATCATCTGATAAACAAATTAAAGGGTCAAGTTATTGCATGAATAAACGAGAAAAAATTATTTGTCAAATTGGAAGCAACTGAAGTGTTAGCAATCTTTAGTGGTGTGGCCTTGAGCAGGAGTGTGAAATACGACTTATCATGAAGAATAAGATAATATATGACACGCAAACGTAAAAAGCTAAGGCTTCTGCAGACTCAACAGAAAATAGGACGAAAACTTCATAAAATTCCTGCCGCTACAATGCAGACAAGTAGCTCGGTGCCTTTGGTGTCTTTGTTAAGGATGTTCGATTTGATCAGAGAATCATTAGCGTTTTTAGTATGAGCACGACGTAACAACGGGCTTCCAGCCAGTTCGCAAATTGTTGACCACCCATGTGTTAATGAATTACTGAAGCGCTCACCATCCAGCCTTTGAGATCTCCACTGGAATTCTAACACGACATCACTATGACCAACAAATGTGTTAACAGGGGATGCAATGGGTGAGTTCATGTTCAGAATGTTCCATAATGACAAGCTGTTCTCTCCTCGTCTCAGTTGAGGTACAGTCACTGTAACAAGGCCTTCGCCAAATGGCTGCAAAGTAAATGAACAGTGGGCTAAGAACTGTAGGACTTAACAGTTTCCCAGTTTGCGAGAAATGAATTTCTAGTCATAAACCTATTAATTGTTGTGATGTTCACGTCACAGTTGTGGTTTTTGTAAGCTCCCTAGAATCATTACTTCCTTAAATTTTTTTTTTTTTCTTTTAAGAATTTAAAATTCATTAAACATTACTCTGACAGCAGGGAATATAAAAGTAAACTTACAGTGAATCGTGCCCTCCAGACCGGACATTTTGCATTCAACGTATTCTCTGGTTGTTGAGGCTGTTCAGTATTCCACAACTAAAAGAAACAGGACAAAAATGAAAACAAAAAAATTGCGGCCAGAAGAATAGTTTTTATTAAACAATGTAAAGTTGAACTGCTCAGTGCTTTGGTGCGTGAAACAAAGCAAATTTGGGTACCGTATTTATTCGATTAACCGCCCTGGGCGCTTATTAAATTTTTGGACCTTGAAGATTAGCTTATTTGGGCGCTTATTAAATTTTCACCATTTTCAGCAAGTGAAGTATGTTTATTTTGCAACAGAACAACAAAAAACTGTAACAAAGCAAGGTTTCTGTAAAATACTCTGCTTTCGGGAAGTCTCTTAGTAGAATTTATTCACTAAAAAGCGCTTATTTGAGAGTTTGATTTTGAGGAGGAGGGGTGGGCGCTTATTCGAGGCTGGGTGCTTATTAACTTTTTCTGCCTTTAGGAATTTATTCGAATAAATACGGTAAATAAAGTTACAAATCTTGAGACTCAAGTCCTTATCCTGGTTGCACAAAATGCACTGAAATACACTTTTCTGGGATCCCAAAACTACAGCTTAACCCCAGAAGTAGCCTACCTTTCAGACATAATCTAACCCCAGTTAGTAACATCTGTGAAGCAGTGCCGATATCCTTGTTGTGGGCCCCCTGTGGACTCAACAAATTACTTGAAGTGCATTTCGAACTTCCCTTCAACCTGACTGGCAAAATGACAATGCTTTTTTAACAGGCCAATCATGGTGTATGCTCAAATCCTGGGACACAGTTGGGGTCCCAGAACGAGGATTTCAAAGCTGTTTCGCAGATGGACATAACCGGAAGTTAAGTTCCATCTGTGGTGCAAGCCACCCCAGAAGGAACCCAGACTCCACCAGTGGAGGAGGGGCAATTCCCACTTCCACACCTACCCAGACACAAGAGTGCCTTTCAATCATATCTATTGCCGTCAGTGATTTCTCCATCCTCTTCAAATTTTCTGGAGAACACTAGTTTAGGCTCACCTTTACAGTAGCATCATTGCTGCATGTCACTAGAGTTGTACCACAAGAACGCGACCAGTCCAGGCCATGGATCCTTGATAAGTGAGCTGTGATGTACACCACAGGGGTGTTACCTTTCTGTTAACAAAAGCAAACATCAAATAAGTCACAAAAGCCTGTGTTTCATTTATGAAAGGTTGTTATGGAAACAATGAAGTCAGATGTAACACCTGATACATGCGATACAGACCCTGAGATCCCATATTCTAACGTCACCATCGTGGCTGGTAGCAAGCACATGACGATTTACTCTGTTCCACTTAACCTGTGATGCACCAACTATAATAAAAAACAAAAATAAAATACTTATTATTTTTAGAGCTGTAATTAACGGCCATAACCCATGAGACCTATTACGAATGTGATCTCACTTGATGTTATGGGTGATCAAAGCGGAAAGCTTAAGGTGAAACTGTAAATTTTTGTGAGATGTTATGGGTGAATCTTTACTTTCTACAGCGGCTTGAAAACTTAATGAGAGCCCTGAATATTTAGAAACAACGAAAAAATATGTTACTTAAGTCTATGTATTAAACTCTATTGAGAATCAGAACAATATTATTTTAACAGAAACTAGGAAATAGTTATGTCCAACAAAAGTCATTGCTGGCACCAGGAGTTCAGCACTAATACATTCAGTTTTCAAGTACACTATACATGTATTTGAGACAAGCACAGATCTGTTTATCTAGTCAGCAAAAAATGCACATTGGAAAAGTGAGCTTCCATAAAGGGGCACCATAAAGGCAGGGATGTAGATAACAGCTGTGAACCGGGGAAAATACCCGTCTCTCAACATATTTTTTTCTGGCTGCAGTCTTTAAAAAGGCAACTGTTTTCTTCTCATATTACCCACCCATCAAATGTCACTTCCCGTCTGTTATAAATTTAAGCTACATCCCTGTAAAGGGCTATGCCACCCTATTTGCTGCTCTTCTACAAGGCTATTTAACTTTTTTTCATATCAATTGAATTCCAAAAATAATGGTCCAGTTTTGTCATTTAAGACCATCTTTAGGCTATTTCTAAACTGTTTCCCACTATTTGTTACAATGGAAGACAAGGTAGACATGGATTGAAACTTATCCTTATGACATAGCCCCTTCAAAAGTAAACTAATCAATCTGTATATGGGACTGATGTCTGTGTTACAGGTCAAAATTAAATTTAGGTTACAATTTTTTAACCTAGGTTAATTCTTAAATTTCCTTGTCTTCTAGCCCTAAATTATGAATAATATTTAGGGCTAGGCGACAAAGGAAATTCAGAATGAAACTAGGTTAAAAAATTTTAACCTAGGCCCAGTTGTTCGAAGGCCGATTAGTGCTTAACCCAGGGTTAAATTTAAGTACCCAGGTTTGTTTTCCTTGTGTTCAAAAGTATTTTCTCAGATAATTTTCTGTGCTATTTTTCGAGCTTCCAATCATCAACTTGTAGATAAAAATAATTAAAACTGAAATGCTTTCTAAGCTTTCAAATCTGAATTCAAATCTCACACTAACCCTGGGTTATCTTAACCCAGCTTTGAACAACTCGGCCCTGAAATTAATTTTCACCTGTAACACCTGTGTAAGAGAAATAGAACAATAAATACTTACCAATGGCTTGTAATGAACTAGCTGGCTTCTTCCTATCTCTAAAAATGCATGAAAATGAAAAGCCAAAATTAAATTCACCTGGATAAACAAGTACCACAAGATCTTTGCTTGCAAACTGACCATAAAATGATAAAAACCAGCCATGTATTAGCAGTACTGAATTGCACCAATCAAACAAACGTAACAAAATCAATACTTGATGACCATTGCTTCAGAGAAAGTTGCTCACAAATGAATGAGGAATAATCCTTGTAGTGTAACAAACTTACTGTGTCCACCCAACAGACACCAGTACATCTTTGATGTGACAATTATTGTTCCAAAATTAGCCTGTCTGAGATTATGAACCCAAGGGGGGGGGGGATGCTCCTCATCTCACTTTGGGATGTAAATTGCAGACTTTGATTCTAAACACCCTAATTATTAGGGTGTTTAGAACAGAAAGTCACTATATTTGCCCATTCAGTTATCAATTAGGGCAGTAAATGAAGAAATGTTTGAAAAATGCAGTGTCTGTTTTAGTATGGACTCCTTTAGGGGTCAGTTTAAGCTTGAGCCACACCCACATTGATCTCCCTTCGGGGTTCAATAATAACGTATTTTAATTTTCAGACAAGCATCCCTGTCACTTTTATATGGGAGTAGCCCCTCCCAGGATTATAAGTCTGTTTGGAGAGTGCTTAGGTTTAGAAGGAAAGCTAACATAAAGTAACATGTCTATCACACTTTAGTAGTCACTCTGCTTTTACTGATTTTGGAAGAAAGCCATATGACACCCCACTGAGTTGTTTGGGGGAGCTACAGACCCCCCCCCCCCCTGCTCTGCTGCCTATGATATTATCTACACCTCCTTCTGACCTCAAGTCCCAGATGTAGATGAACTGATCCATTGAACAGGTGGAGAGAAGATGAGGGTCAAACCACGACCAGTTAAGATCACTGAATACAAAGAAAGGAAAAAAGCAATACTAGAGGATAATAATGTTAATGAATAACCATACTTTTTTTAATAATGTAACAATGAAAAAAAAAATGAAAGGGGAGAAAAAATTTAGCAGAGGCCAAGGAAATTTCAGATCCTAAGTTAAACTCATCACCAATACTTTACGAAAAACTGCAAGCAAGCAGCTGTGTATACAAGTCACAAGGTGCCCCTGCTAGAGGCATCGGTTCAACCCCAGTAAAGTTTGGAAGACTGCAGACCAACATTGCTTCCAGGTTAACTTTGCCTAAATTATGTTTAGCCACCTATAAGGAAATTTTTAATGATTGTAAGACATTCATACCATTTCTATTTAAGGCAGGAGGTCCTTAATGCCTAAGCCCTAACTTGTAGAATTTCAATCACCGACTAGAAGGAAAGTTCAAATTCCCCACTACTGTTTTCAATTTCCCAGCTATTTTCAAAAGTGAGTGACAGCCCTGAAAATGATAAACACTGTTTTTTTCTGCACTCATAAATAATTGAAAAGTGGGTATGGACAAAGGACGCTTCCTTTTGCACGCAGCAGTGAGTATTGCCCAGCACCTCAGCATGACAATAACCAAAGAAATGAGTTGAGAAAACATGAGATGTTCGCAATGCAATTACTGCTAATCTTTTAATCTTTTAAATTACCTTATTGATCTTGTGTGACCTCTGAGAATTTGTTGTTGTAAACCATTGCCATCTCTCCAGGACCAAATCTCTGTCTTTTGGTTTGACTGCAAAAAAAAATGTAGGCAGGTAGGTAGGTAGGTAAGCTACTTAGTTTCAAGTGCAAAATTATAGTGTCAAAACAATATGAATTCATGAGGAAGTGCTAAGCAAAAATACTGACCGCATTGGCAAAGATATTTGCATGCGAAAGGTGAGGGTTCCACTCTATTGCTCCACATTCCCATTTGCTGTTTCTTGTTACTTTTTTAGTGATTACATTTGGAGCATTCAAGTCTACAAATGCTAGTCCCTTCCTCCTGTGAAAAGAAATAGCCACGATCAGCATTGAAACCCACTAGAGGGCCTTGATTCTGGAAGCAAAAGGTTGTTTTGTTTCAGTTGTTTCCAAATACCACTGGTTGCATCTAAGCATTTACACAAAACGAAAAACATGTTCTAATTGTGTGAAAACATGGCATGTTTTGCCACCGAACTGTTGAAGTTTGGGGTGGCAATAGATGAATGTTCACAGACAGATAAGGCAGCTGTTTGTTGCCTTGATTTGTTTTCGATCAACAAAGTAATATCAAAGCAAGACGTTACAAAGAATTTCTGGAGTTGTAAACTCCAAACAATAATATTCTTAAAAGCAAGTGTGCTGTTTCTGAGTGAGAAATGTTACTGAAAACTGAGAAAAATAAAAGATGAGTGGAATGAGCTGATCAAAAACATGTAAACAACTTAACCTTTGGTGTGGCAGTTTGCTTTAATGGCTGTAAAACTTCAAATGTCCACGCTTAGAGAGGCCCTGCCGGGGTAAATTCCAACAAGCGACATAGCCCAAAAAGTAGCTACAGCGCGGGGCTTTTAGATGCAACTGATGGCATTCGCTGTGAACTGGCAGCAAAGCTAAAGCTAAACTGCCTTTGCAAAATTTGACGATATCTTAAGTTTTAGGTCTAATGTAAAAGCTGGACACCCTGGGTTTTAAATGTACCGGTTCACAGCTGGCTCTTGGGCTTAAGAATAGCACAGTCTTAAGAGGGGGTATATAAGTAACATTATCACGGTCACTTACGATCCTAGTACAGTAAACTGGCCCGTACAATCCACTGCCATGACAGTTGCCTGCAAGGTGAAAAGTTCATTGGCAAATAAAGAACTTGAATACATTAGCGTAACTTTCTTGGCAGCAGACGTCACGAGGAATTTACGCTAAGCTTCCGCAGTGTTCGTCTTGTGAAGACATTATATATTAAGCCTCAAACATTGTTCAGCCCCAAGAAAAGAAAAGAAAAACATCAGGTGACATTCAAAGGATGATGGAAAACAAGATATTTCATAAAAAGTTATGGTGCAGGGCAGAACTACGTTTGTGTCTGGACATATCGACAGCTTCGAGAGTATTTCTTTAGCACTTATCGATGTTTACGTTGTACGACCCTGACACATTTTAGATATTGAATTTATTAGCTTCAGAAGAATAAATCGTAATAGTTTTTTAACAACAGCATAAAACAGAACTTACGGGCCAGTCTTGATGAGGTGCGACAACATCCTGGTAAGCCGCCATGTTGATTCCATCATATTTGTCCTACGTACATCGAGTACGTACCGGTTCAAATGAACATCCACTGATCAAGTTGCAGGCTCTCTTACTCGACACGTCACGCGCTCACGACTTGTTGTGGTGGACAAACTGTTTATAACGGAATGAAGGTTTTTGTTCATTCACATTTTTTGCTGTTTGACGTGTATAAACTTAAACTTATATTTTTACTAATTTAATTGTTTTTGTAGGGAATTTGAAAATTAAGCTTATTGTTACTGCAGCTTAGCTAGTTGGTTCTAACGGCTCAGTCAATTCCAAGCGTGCCCACGCCCCCCGGGCATTTGTCATCTTGTCGGTCCTTGCGGTGGGGAATTAACCTCCGATCAGGCCTTTTTTGGGGGGGGAATTTGTCAATTCTTCTACAAGCGGTTAACGTCGTTACTTTTTGGATATTTTACTTAAAAATATGCCTAACTGGATAGCTCCAAAGAGGACAAATCCTCGCAGACTGGTTTACATTTCCTTGCCCTACCTATATGACAGTTAGGGCAAGATCCATTTCTGTCTGGGTTGCTTTGTTAGAATGGCTAGGGGCAGTTTTTCTTAAGGGATTAAGGGATATTGCAGTTCTTCCCCGTCCCCCAGTTGAAGAACAATGGAATTGTTCAGGGGTAAGTCATAAAAACTGAGGATTCCTTTAGGGGTAGAGTAAAATAGGATGGAAATCTTTGGGCGTGGAGTTTTAATTTTCATGAAATTTTTCAGGTGTAGTCCCATACTCTTCAAGGTTAAACCCATATTTGATGGAAGTCTTCAGGGGTGGATGCTGGTGGAGCTAAAATACAGGTCACTTTTCCACAGGTCAGAGTACAGGTCACCATGATACAGATAAATGAGTAGCATTAAAAGTGTCTCCTAGCCCTAATCTCTTAACAAAACGCTCTGTTAGATCGAGGAGGGGAATCCGTGTGGTTTGGTAATTTATCAGTGGAGCAGTGACCTGTATTCTTGATCTGTGGAGCATGACCCGTACTTTAGACCCTGCCTCGTTCAAGCTAAAATACAACTTGTCCTCAGTCTCTAACTTTGCTAGAAGTCCCTGCATTTCTTTAAGGAGTAAGGTAGAGTTGGGTTGCAAGTTCCCACTTACCCCCTCCTTAAAGGACAAAGGACTCCCATTTGCCATAAAGTCCCCATAAAATCTCCATATTCCCCCACATTACCCCAGGTCTCCAGCCCCCCACCCCCATTAAAACTTCTGGGAAGCTTAAGACAAGTGCATTATTTAGCAATAATTTAATTGTTACATGTTTTTAAACTAAACTTGAATTAATATTGTATTTTTGGTGTTTTTTTGGTCTGAACAAAAGCTGATAATATATGTGCCTTCTGGGAAAATACTTAGTTACCGGCTTTATTGGGTATTTATTCAAGGTTGCTTGACTACTTATATTGTTACATAACAACATGGCATATGGCACGTGCTTCGTAAGGTACAGATAAATAACTGGAGACTGAAAAAGAAACAATCTGTAAAATGAGTTTTGTTCATGATGTTTGCTTTGATCACAGAGAGAAAATACAAAACATTAAAATCACCAGAGTTACAACCTGATACTTATTATATATTATTCTAACCAAACCTCCTGCTGAAGATAACATAAAGAAAATGTGTCAAGGTTCAAAGTCATTAAGATGCTAGGGTAAGTGCATGCTGTAGTATATACTAATATTTTCACACCCACCACAATAATATTATTGATAATAGTACAAGTTACAAGACCATATAATTTGATTTAACTGGGCTATAACTTTTAGACCTCAGGGAGAATTAAAATATTTATAGAAATACAAAGGTGCCTCAGTGGTTTGTTTACAAACTCCTGACTGCATTCTTGAGATTTCCAATCTCATGCTTTGTCAGATAATTCTTAAAAGATAACTGATATTTTGAATTCTTTGAATTCCTTGTCTGTCCCTTGAATTGGGTAATTGGCATGTATTGTAGATAGACAATGATTGTGGTCCCTACATATGAATCAATAATTACCTGCTGACATTAAGAGATCTTTCACTGTACGGCTTGTAGGAAGTCAACTGTTAAACTTTTCACGAAATTGTTGCTACAATATTGTTACTTGATGCCACTTCATACAAATCTGACCAAACATTACTGGAATGCTCTAAAGCTAATAAATTATTTAAACTGCATTAATCCTCAAGAGTAGAATTTTTTTGTTTTCACACCTATTGTGTTCCATCAGTTCAAAAGTTATTCAATATTGTTTTTTTCTTACTGACAGTGGTTGCCCAAATGCTCACCTGTACTCACAGAATTGAAAAGCAATAATCTTTCCCCCCTCCCTTTTTACATGAAAACACTTTTGTTTCATACATGTCAGGCAAATTTTGAATAATTTTCAAACCACTTATTAGATCTGCTGATCCTTCATGGATAATCTCATGACATTTTGATGTTTTACATGCTTGAATTTGCCATAACAATAGAAAACAGAAAATGCTGCTCTAGATGATGGGTTTTTCATTTATTACTCAGTGATAATTATAAGTTTAGCCCATTCACAAGTATCAATCAACTAGCATAACATTTGAAATTTGAAATTCACCTGTCAATGTGACCATTCAAATAAAAGTGTCGAACAGTGATGCTTATTTGATGCTATTAGTTGTGATGATATTTTTAAAGTGAAATTTGGTATTTTTAAGGCACTAAGAAAGACCAATGACTGTTTAGATTAACTTAAGTCTCATCAGTTGAAGCTAATCACTCAAACAGAGGTTAACATGAGGTCATGATGTCTGCTTGTTATGTCTGCAAGATTTAGCTGTTTTTGCCCAAGCAAATGCAAAGCATTTCTTGAGAGTGCTTAACCAACTTTTTAACAACTCTAATGGAACACAGTGAGCAGACTTGCCAATTTTCAGGTAACATATCTAAATCAGAACTCTTGGCAGAAGGGTAATGTATTGTTTACGTGAATATAATCATCTGATTGTTCCATGACTTTATGGGATTAAACAGCATGAAATTCTGTCCTTCATTAGGATCCCTTTGGGTTTTCTAGAAGAATAAGCTGTTTGTTTTTCTTAACTGCTCCCTCTTGTCCTGTGGTTTGAACAGTAGTTAACATATTCTGTTCCATTCATGACATACTCAAGGCCATTATCTTTCATTGAAGCTTTTTGCTTGCTTGCAACATAAAAACTTTAAGCCAGAGACATCTGCATGACTGTGGGATTGTTTTCAGGTTCAAGTAATGGTTGGGTACTAGAAAATATGGCTGTGACAGCTTAAATTATTTTCGCTTTATAACTTTAATAAAGAATAATGAAATGATTTTGGTAATTTGTGTGTCATGGAAATTATATTATAATGCACTTTCTGATCACCAAAATTGGACCAGAGCTTGTCAAGGGATGTTGGTAATCTGCTAATAAATTAATAGATAAAAAGTCAACATCAGGAGCTGTTAAAAATGAACTTATGGCCATACTACAACCAGGGTTTGTAACAAAACTAGGAGGGGGGTGGGGTAGCACTTACATTCTCCATATCCCGGCTTCCCTCAGCCCCCTCCCCTCCCCCAGCGCCTTTGCTAATTAAATAAAATACTAAATTTGCATTTCTGATTCTATCCGGTGTCACAGTGGTATGTGTATCCCCGTGATATGTGTATCCCCGTACACATATCCCTAGTGATATGTGTATCCCTCCAATATGGCTGCTAGAGAAATGTGTATCCCCTACCCCCCTCCCCTCCAAACAAGTGTCGGTTTTATTTCTGTTGTTTTTGTGAATTTTGCGAATCATCGTCAAAGGGACTACAAATGACTCAAGATTACGAGCAACACAATCGACAAAAGAGCAACGATTCGAGACAAAATCATCGCAAAGCTGTCTCTGGCGAGTTTACTTCTTCGTGGGCCGCAATGTTGATGTAAACATTCGTTCTCGCTCCTCTCCTTATCCAACGTGATTATAATTCATATGTCACTAGTCGGGTTAAATAAGTATGACTGACAAAATTTCATTCAGCAAGGGATAACTCGAAAAGTCAAAAAATAGAGAGGGGATACACATATCTCTGCGCTGGTCCGGTGATATGTGTATCCCCCGTGCAAGCACCATAATAATCCACCTTTTAAGTTGTTTGATTCCTGTAAACCTAGTTGTATTACTAGCTGTTCTGATAGATTATATGGACGATATTTCCTTTAGCAAGAGAAGAAAAAACAGGGGATACACATATCGCGGTTCGGTTCAGTGATCTGGGAATGGTACGGTTCTTTTAAGCAATTACAGGTTCATATTCAGCCACCTCTTCTCTCTGGACCGCATGTGCATGCAAGGAATTCCAGATCTAGCTGCCATTATTTTAGTACTGGAATTGTTTACTCTCTGCTCTGGCAAAGACATGTTTTGCGAAGTGTAAACTTAATTTGCTCTGAGTCAGGAAACCTTGAAACAAGATCTGTCCTTGTTTTCATTATCATTTTTTCCTTAAGGTGTGTGTCACAGTTGCAAGAAGCCAATCAACGGCTGCGAATCAGCTTGCCATGCAATGGAAAACCTATACCACGTTCATTGCTTTTTATGCTGCAGCTGTGGTAAGAACGGCCTGCCTGCATAGTGCACGCTTGGAGGTGATATGCAAGAAAAAATGGGGCACAAGACAGAGACACAAGAGGGGAGATGGAGCCCTCTCCCTTTGTGTGTCTCACTCGCGCGCCCCATTCTTTCTTGCACCCATTACTTTCAAGCCCCTGCTGCGCAGGCTATGATAAGAAGTGAATGGTGAATAAAACCTACCTAAAAATAAATATTATGCAAATAAATAGTTAATTACTATCCCCTCCCACAAGCAGCTTTTTAGGAATGGTGATAAACTCCAGAGCTGTCATTAAGGGCCTAACCCACACCACCTGTTATCGCTGAGCTCACTTGATGTTATAGGTAATCAAAGAGGAAACTGAAAAGCTAACAAAGACACTAAATTCTTTGGAAGATGTCACAGCTGCTTCAAAACTTAATGACAGCCCTGGAAACAACATTGCAGACATCTTTTTAACAACAGTTTTAATTAGTGGTGTGAATAAAATATTATTACTCATCAAATCCATATTTATCTATCAACTTCCTCAGGGAATCAGCTGATTGGTCAGGCATTTTATAATATTAATGGGAAAATCTACTGTGAACCTGATTACAAGGTATGTATTTTCTAATTTTTGTTTCAAGTTGCAATGCCCAGACACAAGCCTGTGTTCTATGAAAAATTGAGGGGAGCCTTGTTCTCTGAACCTGTGAAATACATGGTGCCCAGCATAATATTTTTTTTTATGAAAAAGCTAAGATTT